GACTTAAATGAGGAGCTGATACCAAGGGCTCAAGTAGAAAGAAAATGTTTTGAGAACGATGATGGTAACAAATGTACAAATGTGCTTGACACAATGGATGGATGGATGGGTTTTGGAGAGCTGTACGAGCCCCCAATAAAATTATATGTACACACACACACACACACACACACACATGAGAGAGAGAGAGAAAGAAAGAGAGAGAGAGACCCTGCTGAATGAACTGAGCCCTGCTTTGAAGCTGCCTGTACCCTTGGGCTAAGGCCTGTGATACTCAAATGGCAGAGAAGGCAGAGAGTGGCCGCCCCATGGTTGTAGAAGTGGCAGTCATTGGACCTTGGTGTCCAATGGAAAGGGACCCAGAATCACCATATATTTAGTACCTGCAGTGAGATGGCAGGTTTTCATCTGTTTTGAGGCAGGGATCTGTACTTCTAAAAACTGATCCAGGAAGTTGCCCCTTGGTTCTAATCCCCATGCTTAGGGTCAATAGAGCTCAATTGAATGGGAGATCTAGCTGTGAACGGCAACTACTCATAGGTGGTGGCTCACAGTGGAACTGTACTCGCCTAAACTCCTCATACCGACAGTGTCTGGAGTGCTTTGTCCTTGGAAAAAATGTAGATGTTATCAGTGCACTAGTCTTATACTCCAGGGGATGATTGACAATGTTTTCCTTTTTGTTTCTATGGTCTTTTGTTTTCCTGCCTTTAGCTTGTTTTTTGTTTGTTGGTTTTTCTTTCATTTGCTTGTTTGCTGGTTGGTTTGTTGCTGTTGTTGGTGTAGTTGTTCTCCTGGGGTTTTGATTTTGTCATAGTATGGCTGCGAAAGTAAACAAACTTGTTTCATGAATATCCCATGGGCAAGCAGATGGATTCTTGGCTACCACTTAACTCTAGCACCAATTTAAGGGCATTTTGTATGATAACATGTCCCTGCTTGATAGCTTCATGAACTGATAAGGGTGATACAGCCAAATGTGATGAAGAAAATAGATGGTGCCCGGCTATCAATTGGAATGGTGTCTGGGATGTTAAAAGGTTTATATTCAAATAAGCAACCATCTAAATGAGGAGTCGACTAAGTCCACATGGAGGAAGCACACCAGCTTGTGTGATCCCAAGATTACAATAACAAAATCCAAGTATGAGGAAGGAAAAGTATCAGAACTTACATTGTGAGCACCCAATTTATAGAAGACTGTGGAGGACAGTGGGAACCCTAGCCCACCTGCAGAGTATCTGGTCAGATTAAGCCACTGGAGATCCCCTATAGCCATAGGCAGGGGTCTTGAACTTCACTCTTAATATCCTCAAATTGACATGAGGTTATGTAACTAACACACTCATTATTTGCATTTTTATCTTTATCTTATTATTATTTTATCCTTACCATCCATACAAAAAAAGAATTCTTCTGAGAAAAAAAACACAAAGCAATGATATCCTTTTGAGGATTACTATGCACCGGATGCAAACAGAAATATTTTCCATCACCTCATATATATCAGAATCATTTCATGAGGTAGCATATGGCCATGTGTGTCAGTCTGGGCAAACTAGGGAAACAAATCCACCAAAACCCATATGTATAAGAGAGAGTTTTATATAAAGGGTAAGTGCACATTAAGAAAATATCCCAACCCAGTGCTGCCCAAGCCGATAAATCCAACATTAGCCCCTATGTCCAACACCAATCTACAAAGTCCTCCTCCACCTCCCACAACACATGCAATGACACTGACTGCAGGAGGAAAGCTGGATCAGTGAGTGTGTAAGCATCTC